TGTTTAACCATGCAGGTCTCCTGCCTCCTTTGCTCGATTTCCTTCTCAAGGGGACGCACTGCTCCTGAGCATGGAGGAAGTGACGTTTATACAGCGACCAGCACTCTTAGGCCCCCCTGCCTTCGAGAGCCCTGGCCCACAGGATTCCTCCCAGTAGTTCCTTGAAGAGGCCAAAGTTAGCCCTCCTGAGGTCCAAGGTTTTGATCCTACTTGTCGCTCTGCTTCCTCCACGTAAGATTCATCTATGCTTTCAAATCTCCATGCCAAGCATGGTTTCCCAGTGATGTAGCAGGAACTGTTACATTTCTTTAGCTGACTATGAAAAAATGACGGACACCCGATTCTGAAAGAAACAGAGCAACGTTATTGCTAAGTGATTGATTTTATGTGATGCCACTTAAGAAAGCTACCATTTTTAAAGTATCAGTGACTGGTACCTGGCATGTTGTTTTTCCTTCATCGTTTCATTCATCATTTTCAACGTGTATCATTTTGGTTATAAAATAGGATTTTTCTGCTAACTGGAAAGCATATCACTGAACTGTTCAAGAGCCTTGTTCTCCTCCTCGTGACGTTACAGTATCCTCTTGGATGTCAGTGGGAGGTATTCAGCGCAGTGGGTGTTCTCATTACCACTTCACATTTTACTGCTTGGTTTTCTGTGTGTTGCTATTTAATGATTTTAATTCCTCTTCGCCAGAAGCCATTTAGCAAGCGGCATACTATTAGTGCTACTTAACAACATTGACAAAGTCACTATGAAAAACTGGTTTTGTTTCTGAACAGTGTTGCAGCGTTCCCGCTCACCATCTGCTCCTGCCATGTCCCTCGTGGTCGTGTGTCCCAGTTAACCCTTTGCTCTGGGCTCCTCTGTCTTGGGCAGGGTGGCACAGGCTCTGCACAACTTTGCCTGAACTACAAAACCCTCTGAGGCTAAAACAGATTGCAGGTCACTTTAATGGCAGTGACATGGGTGAAGTTTTTGGCCGTTGTAAATTGAAGTATATTTGGTTTGTAGAGGCACAGACAGACAAACAGAGGAAGCGCAGAAAGCACTGCAGGCTTTCTATCCTTAGACTACTGTTTATCACAGGCACTTTGCAACTCCCATTAGTGTCAGGTCTGGATGTCTCACAGCCGTTAATGTAATATCTCAAATAAGGCTGCAGAGGGAAGATACTGTACCTTTTGGGAGAACAAAGACATCAAGACTGAGAATGCGATTCATCTCACTGAAGTTAATCTACCAAAAAGATAGATTGCCAGTTGATATTCGTCATCTGTGCTTCCCTCTCTCCAGTGGAGAGGCGAGCATATCTCCCAAGGATGATTCATGTGACTCTAATCACTGGGCAACCCTGACTGTTAAGTGGCAGTAAGAGGCCAGACTGAGAAGGATGCTCAGCTTTAGATGAGCTCATGTGGAGGCTGGACAAGTTCATGGTAGCAAAATTCTTTGCGAGTTATTAAATCCATAGCAATAGCATCTGGCTTTTGAACTTCCTAAGCTGAAAACAGTTGGAGGCTGTTGAGTTGTTAAGGGGTAGTATCAGACATGCTTGTCCTGTTGTGCACTTATTCTTTCCTAAGCATCTATTTATGGCCACTGTGGGAGCTAACACGCAAGGGAGGTGGGCTTTCTGTCTGACACCATATGGCCATTCCTGTGCACTTACGTGAAGCCATTTTAACAGGGAGGAAGGGGGGAATACAGATTTAGTAAGAGATGATTTGTGCAAGTGGGAAATTGGCAGTAAGGTTTATTTGCAGATCTGTGGTGAAGTGCTACTGACCTACAAACAGAAAAACTGGAGTTCAGTTTTACAGAAAGAGCCTGTGCCAGGTGCTGAATGTCAGTGCTTTATCTCAGGTCACCGCAAGCCTTTCGGAGATTCAGATGAGCTGTTTCACCATGTGTTCCCCTCAGATGGTGCAAACTTTTTTGAGCCTGAGACTGTACAAGGAGATTCAGATGTGACATCGTTTGCAGTGTGGTGTGTAGCTGTGCTGTTAGACGAGTGCTCCCTGCCTCTGTGACAGCACCGGCTGGGCAAACAGGGTGGAAGCTTGTCACTTCAAATAACTCACTGGCAGCACAGAATGTGTGGCCCAAAACCCATGTATCACTCACCAGAACAGTGCTCGTGACCTCCCCCTGTCTTGGGCGCATGCACATATGTGTGTACCTTTGTATTTTGGATGATCGTTCCATTTGAAAGATTTTGCAGAATTGACCATCCTAAATGCTGATACCTGTAAAATGGTTTGCTAAGGAGGCAAGCACCTCAAATTGAGCATTTTGCTGCCAGTATGGTAAATGTATGCCCATCATTTGCTGCAAAGATCTTTTACTAGTGTCTCCATAGCTGTTAAATGGCAGCATCACTGCATAAACACACTTATGTTTGAAGTCAGAATTGCCTTTTATGGCAATCTCTACATAAAAACAAATCCTGATTAAACGGAGCGATGTTTTCCCAAGACGTGATGGTGGAATTGGATTCAAAACATCAAGCTGGGCTTGTGAAATGGAAGCTTTTGCTCTTTTAAAGGAAACACTCTGTGATGAAACTGGCAGCAAAAAGCTTTGATGCAGACAGAATGTATCAAACTTGAGTTTTGCAATTTCCTGTTTGGTTTCTTGCAAATGCCTTTTCTCTAATCATATTTGACCCTATTTAATGTGGATTAGGTGGTATGACATATCCATTGTGGTCTTTCGTCATTCTCTGTTTCTTTTTCAATGTGACATGATATTTTCTAGTACAGATGAAATTTGTTCAGTGGTCAGCTTTGAAAGAGAGTCTGTTATAGTTCCGTAAAATGTTACGGATAGCAAGCAAAAAACCAATTATTTTATTCTCAAGCTTCTCAAATTCTGTGCTCTAATTTTCAGATTACAGCCACCACTGTGGAGAGAAGAGGTGGTTTATCCTCAAATCCTGTCCTGTTTAGCAGCTGCACACAGCAGGAGGGGTGTTGTTTGGTACCAAAGGGAGAGGTTACTGGGAGAGCCGAAATGTTTTGTGGGACTTGAAGGACAGGGTGTTAAAAGAGACTGATTTTCCAGCCCAGTGAGTATTGAGCACGGTAATTTAGGGATGGTGGTATAGCAGCCTTCTGTGATGTTACTGAATGAAGACAAGGCTGGTTCCTCTGTTATTCATGGGCGGTGGTGGCTGCAACAGTACTGTTGAAGTTGTAATAGTACTACTACTACTATAACAATAGGAAGGATTTTTATTTTGCTGTTTCAGAGCCAGAGGGTTTCAGCTGTAGGAGAAAGCCCTACTGAGAAAGGCAAAGAATAATAACGATGCCAAAACCCCAAAAGAACTTACAAGCAGGGTGTAAAACAGGAGATTATAATTGTGTCTAAAGGTTGGAAGGTGACAGCAGCAGCATGGAAACCACTGTGGGGAAGGAAAGGTTGGCTCATGTTGGAGCAAGAGTGTTTCTTAACATTCCCAGAGAATGGAGAGCGTAGGTAGGATTCACTGATGTCGAGGTTTTACTCCTTGCTGAAGATCAAACCAGTCTGCAACACCATGATGGAATTTTTCCCTTCTGGTCAGGGCATATGGCTCTGAGGGGTTTTTTTCCCCAGTAAATCCATGGGTTTGATCTACCTACCTACTACAGTTCTCCAGGAGTTTTAGTTACTGAGTAGTTCAGAGACTTGGGGCTTTATGATACCCACACTGCTCGTGCTCTTCCTGCAGTACATAATAATTGCAGTTCCTGAGTTGCTGAGCAGATCTTTGGCTTTTTACAGGATATTCAGAAGTGTGTGTTGTGAGGATTTATAGATATGTGAAGTAGATGATCTGCAGCTTTTTCCAAAACAATGTCCTCTACTTGCATGAGTCTGTGGAGCCTGCACTCCATGAGCCAGGGGAGACTATTCCAGATCTGCCTTCTCAAACATGCCAGGAACAGGGATGAAAGCAAAAAGCTTTTGTGTCAACCTTTTCTTAGTAGTAGACTTAGTACTGCAGTAGGTATCCTTCTCTTGCCTGAGGAATCCATACATTTGCAGAAGGATGTAATTTTAGACCTCTATGTAGAGGGTAAAATAGTTGTTGAATCATGAAGAATATCATAGAATCATAGAATGGTTTGGGTTGGAAGGGTCCTTTAAAGTTCATCTAGTCCAGCCCCCTGCACTGAGCAGGGACATCTTCAACCAGATCAAGTTGCTGAGAGACCCATCTATGTGTTATGGTCTAGGAAGAAGTTGGGAAGGTAGTTGGAACCTGTATAAGGGCATGGTTAAATGATTCCTTTTTTTCTTTAACTTTTCCATATTCCGGTATAGAATAACTGCTGTCTTACTGAGAACTTTTCCCGGTACCACTGAGAAATCCACTAGGAGCATCAAAGAAACATTGTCCTTCCCAACAGGAGAAATCTGGGGTGGGAGAAGTGTTGGAATTCTGCCACTTTGTTGCTATGGTACCTTTCAAAATCCAGTTTGAACTTTTCCATGGTATAGATTTATAAATCCTGGATCAATGCAATGGTGTGTTTTGCAAGTGAAGTTAGTGCACTGAGTACGCTCCACCTGTTTTACAGTGAGAACTTTTGCAATTCATGTGGTTTTTGCATGATCGCTACATAAATCATGGGTTCATTTCTGAGTGATACATAAAGGGAGAACAAATTCTCTGCATCACATCACTGCTGTGCTTGCTCGATACCTTGCAGCAGCGTGGTACTGTTGGTGGTAGTCACAAAATGGTCATGTTGCTGTAAACGTACATTTTGGTATGCGAGTGCTTTGTGCATAGCTGTATCTCTGCTTTCTAAATGCATATAATTAGTAAGGTTGATTTGGAGTCTGCATACTGGCTCTTATGTGTATTCCATCTGATACATGTATGTTTTCTGCAATAATACTCATTCTAACAGAAATGGAAGAACTCTTCTAAGTGTGTGTCTGTGCTATTCCTGACAGATTAGCACTGCATACATAAAATCTCAGTAATTTTGTTTGCTAGTGGTTAATCTTTTGGAATGACTTTGACACAAAGCAAATACAGATATTGGTCTTTGGTCTAATTTTGCTGTATCTTTCTTCACAGCTCCCTGTTATGGGAGGAGCCTTTATGGACTCACCCAATGAGGACTTTAGTACAGAGTACTCCTTGTTTAACTCATCAGCCAACGTCCATGCAGCTTCTTCCATGCAGAATCCACCAGAAGAGACATCCCGCTCTTCAAATGATGCCATATTGCTATGGATTGCAATAATAGCAACAATTGGAAATATTGTGGTTGTGGGAGTGGTGTATGCCTTCACCTTCTAGGATGACTGTCACTCCAAACACTGGAAGAGAGGATAACTGCAACAGTATTTGTCATGTGTATGTATGTATGTGTGTATATATACATGTATAGCTATATAAATACATATAGGTAGGGACTTTGTTGATTAAGTGCTGCCACAATCATGGAAATGAAATGCGAGTTAATCATCTTGAATCTGGATGGCAGAAAGTTTGGATGCAGTTGCAAAGTGTATGGAAGAGAGAGCTTTAACTGAGAACGGAGCTAGTATCAGTTTTGTAGTAAAATGTAATAAAAGAGAGAGCAATGTGGGTATAGTAAATACAAAGAGAAAGTGAGATTTATATAGAAAGTGCTTATTTTCTACTGTTTAGATTTTTCTAGCAGCTCTTCTGGGTTTTGTCAGCTTTTTTGTGCATTTTTTACTGTGGTATAATGTTGTATGAAATTGTTCTTTGTCATATTTTCTGGACATATTAGATTTCCAGATGGAGTAAATGGTTGGCTTTGGCTTAGTTCTGATGAAGTACAAATTCATTGTGTGTGTCTTGCGCATGTGCACACGCTAGGCTGTGTTCAAAATCATGAGTCTGAAAGCAATGACAGGCAGATGGGTGCTATCCAACCCTTGCCTTCCAGTATGAATTACTGGATCTGATAATCTGTGAATTGATGCTAAACCTGTCTGCTGTTTGCAGGAGGAGGCACCACTATCGCAAGGTGTGGCTGCTCTGCAGACCTTCTGCACTCCAGAGGAGGTGTTGAACAGAGCAGCACCACAAGCTGCTATTTCTGTCTAGAGGTACTGGACTGCAGTGGTTTGTGGATGTGTCTTTTCCAGGAAATAAAGGCCAAATACCATGCTTTTCAGCTCATTTCACTGAAATAAGCAGCAGCCACAGTGCTAATTAACAGGGAATGATGTCTATGAGAAAAATAGAATTGAAAGAAAGATTGGACACTTCTGTGCTCATGAGGGGGTGAGTGCAAGAGTCAGGTATGTCCTGGAATAGAAACAGCAGAAAAAAGGTAGCAAGTGACAGATATGCAAGTGCTTATATTTCAGTATTAATATGTCTCTGGGTTCTGATGAGGCTCCTGGAAGTGATTTTTATATAGCCTGCTTTAGGTAACAACTATGATTATAATTTGGATTTGTTCTGTTTAGGGACAACATTTTCACTGCATTATTCGCATGAGCAGTTCCTTTTCAAGAGCTGTATGTTCTCAAAACAAGCTGCAGCCTTCCTTGTTTCAGAGATTAGAAAAGCTTGAGGGAAGAAAAAAAAAAATCACCTCTGTTGGAAATCTCCCTTTTCTCCCTTAAAAAAATAAACACAAATATATAAAATGTCTGCACTTTGAGAGCAGCAGACAAATTCTTTATGTCTGCATGTACTGTATAGCTTTTTGTCTCATACATCTACTACCCTAATTCCAGAAAGCCTTGTCTGCAGGCGCAGAGACTATTTTTGACACTTGCCTGCCACTGAGCTTGAGGCTAGACTAAGAGCTGCTGAATGTATAGAGAGGTTTGGATTGTCTTCTCTTCTCTTTAAACTCATTTTACTGCAGGGCCGGTGGACAGTTACTTGAATCAAAGCTGCATGCCCCAAATCAGCATGTATAATCACTCAGTGTACTGTCACTGTGCATAGTTTTTTTCCCTCTCTGTGAACTGGCCTTTAAAGCTGGGAAAGATGCAAACAGAGCTAGCAGGAGGGAGGAAAAAAATGAAGTATTTTGAGGATGATAAACATTGACAGCTCACTTGAGGAACTGAGCTTCTATGTGTGTAGTTATTTTGCTGTTTGGAGGCAGGATTTTGTGAAGATGGTTGAGGACAGACAAGGTCTGTGCTGTGAAAAAGTTTGAGAAGCCCAGTTCTGGAAGATCAGCAGGACAGAAAGCAAATTCTGTCTAACAAAATAGCTGTAGTCTTAAGAATGACATAAAAATGATGATTTTCACCATCCTAAAATAGCTGTTCGTTCCTTCATAGGCAGAGAATAACAGAGAACAGGGGAGCTGCATACGTACATTGTGTACCTTTCCTGTTCTTACACTCCTCTTTGTTCTCGCTGAGCAGAACGCAAGCTGTTAAGTGAGGTTGGAAGGCTGCAGAGACGTTTCCAATGCAGAATTGAGCAGGACAAGGTCTGGTGTACAAACAGGTAGCACCCATGGAAATATTGCTTGAAGTAATGTACTGTCCCCAACCATTTTCTGCTATTCTATTGCCTTTGTAATTGTGTCAGTTGCTTATGGACTTTTCTTCAGTGTTTCGTAGGCTCCCTAGTTAGGCCAGATCTTGCAAGCGCTGTTTTTGCATGAAGAGCAAAACATTTCCACCATGATTAAAACCAATTTGACACTATGGTACTTGCCCAGTGGGATTATTTTACTACTTAATGAATTTCACAGCAGAGTGCTTTGTTTAAATTTCCCAGAATAATAATCTTAGCGCAGTTAGCAATGTTTGCATCTCTCAAATCACAGGGCTAAATTCTTCACCCTTGAAGAAGAGCATTAGAGCGGGAACAGCAAAGAGTTACCACTCTGCTGATGAAACCAAGTGACATTTTTGTGTTGCTTTTCCCAAGTAAAGTGCCCTACTTTCATGTGAAAATGATAGTAATAGCAGGAGTGTTGGAAAACAATGAGTTCTGCCTCCTGCATACACATCATCATTGTACATATTTTCATCGTTAGAGTCTGAGTTGTCAAGAAGGGCCCGACAGAACTCTAATTAAAGTAATTGGCTTGACAGGGTGACATGGCAAACTGGGTGCAGGCAGCAAGTACAGGCATTTCCTGTCTCATGGTTACATGCACACTAACTGCGCAGCTTTTCTGTTGGGGAAAAAAAACCCCAGTTTTAAGATGCAAGTCCAAGGATTCTGCCTGCGAGAGTCTGTACAGAATGTTGTCAGGTGTACTAAAGATCCCTACATTGTAGTGGGCAGAGCTGGTTTAAACTCTGTTCTACTTTGATAGCGATGACATGCACAGTGTGTTTCTGGATGTTGTGTTCTGGCTTCATCCACTACACGCACCTCAATCTTCCGGGAGGTTAGAGACGGTTTAAATGAACTGTTGAAAAAGGGGACTCATCCATCACTAAGTTCAGAGAAGCCACAGAGGGGAGTGGAGAAGTGGATGAATAGTGGATATTTCATAGGTATGATCCTGTGAAATATGTTACCTCTTCTTTATGTGGGTATATGTTATACCCTGAACTGTCAATGTGACTTGATTTGGAGCTTCTCCTTTCCTTGGAGCTAGGCAGCTGGATAACTGCTGTCCCTCACTGGGGGGTGACAAGGAAGCCCAGATACATTCCCCAGCGCTGTTCTCTGAAGCTCTGTGTAAGAGAAGAAGAGGTCTCTGCTTTGTTGAGCGCTTGGTGTATCGGCATGAGAGCAGGATTCCACTTACAGATCTGTGCTTTAAATAAAAACATCTAGCACAGGTAAGTCACAAGAGTCTGACTGGAGTTTTCTTTGTAGTAGACGAAGCAAAACACTTTCTATATACAGTGTTAAACCCCTAGCTATGTTGTAAACATCATTGTACAAACACAAGACCCAATACTGTATGTGCTCTGCAAAGTTTTAATGAGCCATGGGAAGCAGGCAGACAAACTGGATGCCCCAACACGTCTCCTCTAGCCATGGTCTCTGAGGATCGATAGCAACATATCAAATAAATGAACTGTCTCTTAAGAGTTTTTTTGTTTTAAGCAGCCAGCAGCTTGACATGGCAGCTGTGCAGCCACCACAGCAAGGAGACTAAAGGCTGAACAGTTATGGAGGTGGGTGCAAAGGCCCATTAGATAGGAGAACATGGTAGGGAAACCCACACAGCTACTCCTGTTATATTTTTATCTGTGGGGCTAGGAGTCTGTGCTTGTCCACAGCATTAACATCCTCCCAAAATAAAATGAGGGACAAGGATTTATTTCTGTGTCAACACACTTGCAAAACTGAAAAACAGATTATTAAACTGATACAAGAACAGTAGCAGAGAGACTCGTCTGCTACAAGTAATATAGCCATTTGAGTGTGCAAGTGAGCTGATAGATATCTCACAAGTAATCAGATCCCCTGTCCAAAATCCTTGTTTGCAATGGGACTTGAAGGCAGTCAGCATCCCACTAAACTGCTGAGCAGCCTGTAATAACATGTCCCAGATCAAGAGTGAGTAGAAGCAGCCGGCCATTACAGTCTTACCCTGTATATCTGTCTGAAGATAAAGGGAAAATATGCCTTTGTGTCTGGGACAAAATGAAAACAGGAGCCCTTAGTCTATAGGTTGTTATGTATTGTGTCTATTATTAGAAGCTTTTGTTTTGCTGTTCTGAAGCAATTCCAGTGGTTAATATCCTTTTCTCATTTCTCTGCAGGCTGCTGAGAATTATTAAGTTCACGTAGCACTGTCCATTTATCCAATGTAATTTTACTGGGTTTCCTGTGGCTAATCACAAAGCAGAATCTGGAAAATTACTCTTTATAAGGATGATTTCCATCATTGAGAGATATAGACCAAAAATCAGAATCCCAGATCAAAATGCTTCTGTGCTTTTAGAGCATTCAGACCTCTAGAGAATTGGATTTCATCTGGTTAATGCGCAGAAAGGAAAAGGGCAGTCAGGACCCTGGTGATATTGTCAGACATCAGGGTCCTGACAAGCAGGGCTGAGCGCTTCATTAACTCCTGCTCTGCCCCTCTGAGCCCTGCTGGCTTCCTGGGCGTGCAGCCTGAGCTGAGTTTAAGTGAACTAACCATCAGGTACAGCATGTCCCTCCGCATCTTACAGTTTGCTAAACCTCAGGGAAACAAGTGCATTTATTCCGTTCGCAGAAGAAGAGCCAGAGATCAATATTCTGCTAGGTGTTTTGTTATTGGTACATTGGTCTGCCACTCATAAGGTGAAGACAGGGAGGTTTTAACATGTAGTTAGTTATTTGCCCCAGATCTGGGAACATCCTAAAGAAATCAAAGCATCCCGAGGCCTGAA